AAAAAAAAAAAAAAAAAAAAAAAAAAAAAAAAAAGTTTATCAAACAAATAATACACTTAACAGTTTTTTATGTGTGGTAGAAAAAAAAATTTTTTTCTTGGAAAACTTAACTCACCAGCAGCAGAAGTTTAATAAACAGTAGCAGCTAAAACAACGACGAAATTCGAACAAGATGGACAAAAAATCAGACGAATACGCTAACTAATCTTAAGCACGTTTTTCACGAAACCAGGTGCATTGCTGGACTGTCGTTGACATTTTGTCACTGCTACTGCAGCTGCAGGACATTGAATGACCAAAGGTCAAACTCTTTGACACTAAAAACTCATTTCTGTTCATATACACTGCAATTATAGAAAGCGGTACGGCGTACCGTTGTTGATGACACCGGCACAACCGTTGCCATGCGTATCTCTATGTTTTTCAGCTTGCTGCAGGCTACAGTTATCACCGATTCCGCAGAAACAATTGTCTTTTTGTTGATCATTTATTTGACTCTCTTTTGAACCTGTTTTCATTCACGCATTCCTGTCTGAATTTGTTTTCACTCACATATGAATGGCTAAATATTTCAGCGTATACCTGTGAAACAACAAGTTTTTCTTATTTGAGGAAAAATATTCTTCTTTATTTTTACGAAAGATATAAAATGAGTTTGCGCTTTTCAATTTGTAAACTTTTTCCTCGTCAAACAGCTCATTTATTTACATTCCACTGCCTTCTTTTTTGACAGTGCTTCCAAAAAATTCAGAAAATTTAACTGTGTATGATCCTATGATCAATCTTTTATTTATCATTTAGATTCTGTTGCTCTTTAGATACTTAAAAAACTATTATATACTTGTTTTTCTGATTGGTTGCAGATGACTGATATAACGAAATTGGCGTTATTACTAGAAAAAAGAGAAAAGAGTCTCTGTTTAGCTGACTCTAGCATTTTTTGAAGCCTTAATGCTTCTAATGATGTCATGCGCGCAAAGGTAGAGCTTCAGTGCTTTAGCATCGATACAACTGTTTGTTCTTGATGTAAGGTAAAATTTGCTTATCACTCTGAAACTCAGTCCGACAAATCATATGTTTATATTTCCTGCCTCTCCGTAGGTGACTCAGTTATTTGGTACTGACAAGTCAAAATTAAACTTTAACATTCTTGTTGTATTTTTGTTAGCTATCAAGAAGGAAAATAGAATATAGTTTATTTGTTTTCGGTTTATTTTATAGTTTTTTGAGCAAGTCAAAGTTGATGCTGCGAACTTTGATGGAAAGGGACGCAAAAATGAGCATGCATTAATTTGACGTCATCCTGAGCTGAGTAGCATCGCATGCTGTCAAGAATGAAACAAAACAGTATTTGTACGATGACAATATAATGGGAAAACAACGTAGCAATGTCTTTCGCAGCTTTTTTTTCGTAAGTATTGATTGGCGGCGTAAAGCTCCATACAATTTTTTTTGAACGTCAGTCTCCTTTTTCCGGGTCAAGTTAATGTTGTTGCCATTTGTAAATGCCATATTTAAAAAGAGAATTACTTTTATTTATCTTTTAAATCACTTGTTCCATACAGTTTTTCAATAAAAGAAGGCTATCAGAGGCAAACAGAAGAATCACGGCGATTACATGTAAGAGCGTGATCGAATACAGCGGTTGCTGAATGCGGTGGACTAAGGGGAGGTTCTGTAGATGTCGAAAAGGACCGTGATGTTCGCCGTACCAGTTGCCGAATGTACCGCTGAAGACGATTGGTGAAGGCAATATAAACGAATGCGTTAGCGGAGGCTGATAACATTGATAGTACGTTGCTGATTTCTGATTGTATATAGTCCGCTCTGGAACCAAAAAATTGAATCATCATTCTTATGTATCCAGTTGCAGAGTTTTGGCTAGAAGATTTGCGGAGCAGGAAAAGAAATCAGTTATTGCATTATGTCACAAATACTCTAAAGGACATGCGCAGTGCTAAAAGTTTGTTGCGATATTTTCTCGTCTATCAAAAGATGAGCATTTGGAAGACAATTTACTGATAAATTTATTATAGTCAGTCTTTTGAAAAGTTGCCCGCAGTGGGGAAACCGGCAGTTGACTTTTACCTGGTCGGGCATCCAGCAGTGATCAGTAGTTGCCATTTTCGAATAACATTATAAAATTGTAGGGAATGAAAAATTAAATATAATACGATAATTAATATAATGGAGATTGTAGCGCGCCATTCCTGTCGTTGTCTTATACTTTCCGTTCGATTCGGAAAACAAGTGGTGAAGGTGTTACTGAAAATTTTGTTTAAAGGTTTCCATAAAAATATCGGTCTAGAGACACAATTTCAGATCCTTTCTAAGAACTTACTTTTTCTCTTTACTTTCGTTAAAATGAAAATACAGTTGTTTATAGGTAAAATCACGAGACCGAAAAATTTCGTACAATGTTAGCAAACTAAATGCTGCCATACAAATAAATGGGATCAGATTGGATAAAGCTGGATCAACAATTGAATGATATATAAAACGATACCAAGACAGCAGCTGAAAAGCACCCATTGTTATATCTCATGGTTTATCCTAATTCATAAAGTCAGCTGAAAATTTGCTATAACAGTTTTTTCAATGGTCAAAACCAGGTAATCTCTGAATCATTTGTAAGATTCAGACAAAGCTGCGAATTTTTCAATTCTGTGATTTTAACAAAAACCTGTGTCATCTCTGGCTTTCGTTGTACCCTCCAAAACGGTTTCTTCTTCAGTTCAAGCTCCATGAAGAATATTGGTGCTCGATAAAGCACGGCAACACATAACATTGTTATTATGATGAACTGAGCTCTGACAACCGTATCCCGGACTCTCGATATCACTGGGCGTGAAATCTGCAGTTGAGCATAGTTCAATGTAAAAAACTTACCATTAAGCTCGTATACTTGTATTTATTATGTAAAACTATTTCGTTGCAGTCTTAGATTAAAGAATGAAACCCAGAACTTACAGCACTTCCTTACGCATGAATATATCGACGTTATAAATGTGCCGCTATCTTTTTGACCTACTCAATTTATTATTAAGCGAAGTAACTGATATGGTGGTGTTAGAGGACGATTTTGTTGATGATTTTGTTGCACTGTGACGATCAGTTTATACGTACCGTTTGTAATGTCATACCAATTTAGTTAGTAAATAACAGTTAGACTATGCAGCTTTGTTTATCCACTACTGTTTGAAAGGGAAAGTGTTCAGAATTAAAAGTTTTATCAAGAAGTTTAAACGAAAAAAAGTAACATTCTTTTCACGAGTTTCTGCACTAAACCATTGAGCGACGCGTACTGTTATGGATACTAAATCATTTTAGGCCAGACTCATTTTTTTGGTCTAATTCAAAACAGCCTTTTTCTTTACTGCTTATGGTTTAAACCGTATAGTTCTGAGATAGTTACAAGTGAAGCATTGTGGCTTTAATGCGATTGTGTCTTATGAGTTCAAGTTCCACCAGCTTAGCAGGTAAAGATCTGGAAGTAGCAATAGCAGTTGCTGTGATTCTGAATGAGTGCTACACAGTGAACCTTAATAAGAAAAGTTGAAGATTTAGATCTAAAATATTTCTTTTTTCCGCCACAAACTACTGATCTGTAAAAAGATAGTACTTTTCTCGTAGATGTCAGGAACGAGAAGGTACTAAAAGCTGAGTAAGAAAAGAATTGGTGGAAGTTACGATGAAAAATGCGCCGCCTCTTTCTTTAACATATTTTAACCAAATGTACATTTTTAAAAAGTTTTCATCTTTTTCTTCGTTTTTTTTTTTTTTCTTTTTCGTTCCACCAAACCTTCTCAGTTCAAGTACACTCAGATGATACGCTAATGTCGTAATTCAACTAGTAATTTGACCTATTTTTTCTTTCCCAAATTATTCTAGTCATATCTTTTATATAAAGTAATTTTTTGTTGAACCAATAGAGAAAAAAAGAAACCTTCCAGTACCGATGAGTTGATAAAGCCGCAACCATCCAAAAATGCATACCATTGACTGTGGTTTCCAGTCTTGGTAAAATATGTTTCATAAACCTAAATAATTTTAAGCAATGAATGAGCGCATTATATAACACCTTTTAATTTAGCTGCAACATTAGCATTTATTATCACATAAGATGTAACTGCTATTGCTTTTTAACCAGTAGTTTTGCAAACAATAATTCAGAATGAATAACCTTCTTTCATACATACAAAACTGGTAGAAGGTATGATTATGTGAATGGTGACTATCACATAGCTGCGGTATAAATGTAGCTGCAGATGTCATTATAATCTGACAGTGGTCCAAAATTAATAATGCCCGTAAATAGATGAATACACCAGAGGAAATTTTTGGTGGATTGTACAGGCAAACCTAAGAAAAGCTGTGATTTGAAAAGTATAAAATGAAGCAGATATATCGTTTAAAAAGAGAAAAGAATTTTTTATAGATTTTTGTATTTGAGAACCCCGCAGGTTTTTCTTTTACATCTATAAAGAGATGTGAATTAATGTTAGTGATGCTAATTTTTATGAAATATGAAATATGTGATATAAATAACCCAATATTTTGATATTCAGTTCCAGTAACACTTTATGTTTGCTCATGCAAAACGTCACTTTTTTTTTTGTTCATTTTTTTTTTTGCTTTCCTTAGGGCAGAAAAAAATTTTTTTTGACAATTTAAAAATTGTTAACACTGTAATAAAAAGTCATATAAGTATAATTTACCTGGTTACTAATTGCCCATTTGAAGCCTATTTTTATACCACCCTCCTTTTATTCTCCCCCTTATCGCCATCTCTGCTACAGCTATACAAAAATTAGAATAATGACAACTAATTAACTAATTCCAAAGATGTAAGGTTTACACTCACCAGCGCAGCAGAATTGAACAGAATCCCGAGCACAGCTAGTGGTAAAAGAAAATATAGGTTAATCTTCGTTAACTGGAAATACAGTTCATAATCATGAACTTTAGGTTCATGATAACATATTGTTTGCGGCATCCAAGACCGCTCTTTCATAGTTTAGCGTTTTGTCAGAACCATTTCATAGCCACCATCGGTAGCAGTACCAGAAAAGAAAGAAGAAACCAAAAACCAAGAACAAAATTTTCCTCAGTTTGTTTTTTTTTTCTGCTTGTCCACTTGTCCGCTTATTAGGGAAGCAACACGGTTGAAACACCGTTGTTGTCTCAAATTACACAGACAGATGTGAAAACCACTGCAGATGTAACTTCGTTTTTTTTTCTTTTTCTTCTCTCTTCCTCGTTTGTTTGTAGCCGCTTTTCTTTTCTATTGTTTGCCCAGTCTCTTCCAAATTTTTCAGCCCTACAAATAAAAAACAGAATCCGGCCCCAATATGTAGGTCTGTGACTTCAGTTTAAAGTTGTTCAACAGATAAGAACAGAATGTCACCGAAACCTGGAAAGTAAAAACAGCACAATCCCGAATTATTTTTTCAAATCACTAAACGAATATATTTCAATAAAGAAAGCGAAGGAGGAACAATAAGTGATAATGCTAGATTAGTTCAGAACAGCAGTCTTGGCTGGTAAAGCAAATTAAGCAATACTAAAATCTCTGGCTACGGCGAGTGGCACGAAAATAATCTCAGAAAATTTTCATGCCAGGTTAACACTTATGACGTCTAGTCTAATTTTATGAGCAGGGAACACTGTTGAAAAAATCAAATGCTTCTAGTATTATGGCTTTGACGACTTCATTCGCACACCGTTGAACTCAGAAAAAGAAGCAACAATTACAGGTTGAAATAGAGCAAAATCAACTTCTAGTCGCCACCGACAACGTCAGAGTTTGAAAACCGGAAACAGTTAGAATTCTCAGGTGGTAATTAAAATAGGGGAAAAGAGCATAACTTGCTGTCAATTATGCTTTAGTTGATGTGCACAGTCAGACACACTTTTCTTTCTGAGTAACCATTTTTGCTTTAAAAAAAGAGCCTCCTGTTGTAATTTATCGGATAGTATACTTAATTGGCTAAGTAGCCAATAATAAAATAATTTAAGCCAGGTTGCAAAAAGTGTTTTTCAAAAAATTCTTCATAATATCCCACAGCAATTTAAAAATTTCTAAGCTTTAGAAAAATTATGCAATTAAAAAAATGACCTTTCCAGAACAACAGTTTAATTCTGAGTTACTAAAGTTATATTTTAAAATTTTTCATGAAACGATAAAATAACACATCATAACTAAAATAAACAACGGCGACAGGATCTCCTATGAAATTTTGATGATGTCCGCATAGTGAGACAGCGAATGAAAACTATTTCGTATAACTGTCGTGAAAAGCAAAAGATTCCAAAAATTTAAACCAAATATGCTTCTAGACTTAATACAAAATAATTAGCGCTTTACAAGAAAATTTTTAAAGAAAAAAACTATGAACACAACTCGTAAAGACATATTATTTTTTTGCTACTCTTCAATTTAAAATGCTTTTAACATACTGCTCTTCCAATATTACGTGTTAATTTACCCAAATAATTCTAAAAAATTTAATACTGAGAGGTAAAAAATCTAAAAAACAGACCGAAATAGCACTTTTTGGTCTTTAAACTAGTCATTAGGTAGTGTAAACGATTAAAAGTAACTCTGAACTACACTAAGTGCTTTCAGCTATTGAGTTTTTTTGTGGGGAAAGAAAAAGAAACTTTCTTATTTTGTACTTATTAAACCTTTGTTCTTCTGTGAAAAATTCTTTGAGCATTTCTGCTATAAATCCGGAAAGCAAGAAAAAAAGCAAAAAAAACAACTAAGTTTTTTACAGCATCTTCTCCAAATTTCACAGAAACATTCACTGCTCCTGAAGGTCTTAACAATGTGGAAGACTTTTTTGTTCAACTGCAGAAGTCAGTGAAAAAAAAAACACAGCACTTATCCAACATACGATGAAAGAATAGTGAGATAAAGCAAATTAGGCAAAATAAATTGGACATATTTTTGGTCTATAACAAGCAGCCAGTAAGTAACTTATCAAGCAGACAGTTGTACTCTTTACAGCTGACAGTGTAGATAAATCAGTTAAGCTCAACACTCTTTAAAAACAGTTCTAGCATAGATATGAAAAGTAGACGATTTTAATGTATACACTATGAAAATTCGAGCAAACTGAAAAAAAGAAATACTGAAGAGAAACATTGCAAAACTAGTCATTTGGCAATCAGTTTTGGTAATATAAAACAACAAACAAAAAAAGAAAACTAAAACTATGTAAAATATTTAGTTTAGAAAATATCAAAAATTCTGAAAAGTACAGCTTTAATAACCATATCCGATTACGATGATAAAGTTTCAGTGAAAAAATTGATTTTATGAACTGTTCCCTAAGTTTTAGCTCTGAGAAATTCTTATGCCCAAACCAATAATACTGACCAGAACAGTGACCAACAACTTCATGCCCATTGTTCGCTCAGTCCTTCCCGGTGGTCTAGCAGACGTCCGATAAGTAATAATATACAAAAAATTTTTAAATTGACTACAAGCTTTTGCTTCTCTATATTTCCTTCTGCTTAACTGCATCATTTAAAGACTTCTTCAAAGGTCAGCGAGAAGCTGACGAGAACTAAAGAACTAAAAGCTGTTAGCCTGGATTTTTTTAAAACCACCTACATTTGGTTGACCAAAGACATTATTAGGATTAAAAGATCAACATCAAAACGAGAAACAGTAGCACCAATAACGGTATAGATCAACTATCTAAAAACAAAAAATACATGTACATTAAGACAATTTTAATTTTTGGCTTTAAATACACAGTGCTGATCTACAATCCAATAAAACAATGGCTAGCTGATTGCCGAATTGAACGAGCTTTGCCACCAGGCACCGCAAATAGTAATTTAAAAATTTAACTGTTTCAGCGCAGAAAAAAACAAAAGCAGAAGAAAACAAAAAATAAAAATTTTATTTGTTAGTCAAAATCAGTTTTACTGTCTATCTGGGAATAAAATTAGTAGAGAAGGATCTTTTAGAAAAACAAAAAAATTTTTTTGGTTCTCTTATACACCAAAAAAAGTGGTAGAAGCAAAAGTCAAAATAAAAAAGAAAACGTAATCTGAAATCAAAATATCGTAGTTAATAGTATATAAAAAGACTTCTTCGCTGATTGTAAGTTTCAAACATATCTGCTGCTTTCTTCGCCGATAAAAAAGTTTTTTTATGTGTCTCTGCTTATTATTTAACTTACACTAGAAAAATGAAAACTACACAAATTTAGCTTCAAAAGATGTTGATTCGTTCCATAATAGAATAAAGAAATTCTTCTCATTTCTTTTAACGTACTAATTAGAACACTTCATTCTCAAAGTCTTTTGTAAGGCCGGCGAGTCACTGGTTAAATAATTGGAGTTGCTCAAAAAACGGTTTATCTCACTACTAAAAACCCGTTGACAGTTAGAGTCCTACCTCAAGTGTTAATCATCCGGTTGTTACCGGTTTGGTTGCTTCAAGTATAAACAAATAAAAAACTGGTGTTTTTTAAACATCAACAAAATTTAAGAGCCACAAAAAAGGTGAACTGAACACTAATTATCGTAAAAAGCTTCCTCCATTACCTAACAAAAAGCTGCTCGCTCGCAAGCCTTCTCCGATACAATTTCTACAAACCAACAGCGATGAAACACCAAGAGAACCAAGAGTACGTAAAAGCTGAGAATGCCATAAGTTTTGTAATTCCCAAAATTTACTTTTATAGCTCTGCTGCTCCCGATCACCGCTATTCTCGTAGCAGATTTAAAGACAAAAAATATTCATTCAACTCCTTGTCAGGTGGGCACTCCACAGCTAATCTTCATAATTTGCTGCGCTTTAAAATAAGAAAATTTTATGCCGAATTGCCTGAAATTGCAGAGGTGAGCTGCTCGTATCGAAATTCTGTATTTTTCAATAGGTCACTTGAACATTTAGGGTATCACACGAATGGAAAAAGCAAAAAAAGAGATTTTTTTTTAATTTTGATCAGAAGACTTCAACTGATGACGAGCAAACTGCATTTCTATTGTTTTCCAAGGAGTGAAGCGGTAAGGGAGAAATCATGGAATAAGGAAGAAGCTAGAGGGAGATTTATATATTTCAGATACAAATAAGCTGACCGCGACGATCCAAACAATTCATGCTGTGATTTATAGAATCACACTTAAAACCGTATGAACTTCTTAGTTCAAAAGCGCGCGATTTGTTTAAGCACAGCACTTTGTATTCAACTCACTTTGAGTATTTGGTCAATCTTTTTTTAGTTAGCCGTAAAAGTCTTTTTTTTTTTTTTGAAGTAGTTCTTCCAAGGATGTAACAAATCAACTAACAACTACGATGAAATTTTATGACTTTTTTAAAACTAGTATTTCTCAAAATTTTTGAGCTTTTCAAGAAAAAACAGCTCAAGTAAAAAGAAAAAGCAACTAGACTATATTGCTACTCGCCCTCTAGAATTCTTACTAAATACTTTTTTCCCATTTCTTTTGCAACCGCCGTCAATAGCCAAATTAGATGAAATTTTAAAAGCTTGAGCGAGACACAGAAGACAGTCATTGACTGATGCGCTAGAAGTCAAAAGCCTAATGTAGCTGCGATAAAGCATAATGTATTATTCAGTGTGGCAGTGATCACAAGTTTTTGATGAAATAGGATTCTACTGTGAAATCCACTTATATACGTTGAAAACGAAGATTTCAGTCAACACTAACCTCTGACCATCTTTAAATACTGACAAATGTTTACTACGAGCAGTAACTTCTGAAACTTTTTAAGGCCATAAACTATCCGTCAAAAGCTTCACAGCTTCATAAGTCACCGGTTTTTGTCTTTTATCCTGGAAATATTGCGTAAAAGCTTGTGAAGCACAACTTTTATTGTCTCTCTACTTTTAAGAAATCGTTCCCTTAGTTTTAAACGGATGAAAGAATTCAATTCTGCTGAACAAAGAAGTTGGTTTTGATTCGCAGTGATAGCAGTTCTTCAATAAT